ATAATAATAATAATAATAATAATAATAATAATAATAATAATAATAGCATGCCAGTGCAAAGGTTTCCAAGAAATGGTCACGGAAGGCCTGGAAAAATATCAGTCTGCCCTAAAAAAAACTAGAACCCCCTTCCAAGTTTCTGCCCCCTTCTGCAGCATAGCATCACTAAAAATTCTGATTGCTTCATGCCTTTTCACTTGCCAAATGTAGCCTGCTTTCTTTGTTCTGTAGTAGGAGCCATTGTAAGCCAACACTACTCTGGTCTCTTGTGCCCTGACTAAGGGGAGACATGATGGAGGTTTACAAAATTATGCACGGGGTAGAGAGAGTAGACAGAGAGACCTTTTTCTCCATCTCCTGAAATGCTGGAACGAATGGGCAGTAGATTCCGGACAAAGGAAAGGAAATAACTTCCTTACACATTGAGTGATTAAAATATGGAATTCACTGCCAGAGGATGTCGTGATGGCCACAAGCATAGACAGTTTTAAAAGGGGGTTAGACAGATTCGTGGAGGAGAGATCCAGCAATGGCTACTAGCCATGGTGAGTAAAGGGAACCTCCAAATTCAGAGGAAGCGAACCTCTGAATCCCACAGTCAGAAGGCAACATCAGGGGGAGGCCTTGGCCTCTGTGGCCTGTTGGCCCTTCAGAGTAACTGGTTAGCCCCTAAGTGCAATAGGATGATGGACTATATTGCCATTAGTCTGATCCAGCAGGGCTCTTCTTACGTTCTTATTTCCTGGTCATGCTAGTGTGTGACAAAGAGACAGACTGGAGACTGGCTTTTGTATAACTAACAGAAGGACAATCAGTGGGCAGGAGATGTACGGATGAAAGCCAATGCTCCCTCTAAGCTGTGGAGTCTTGTGAGCAAAAATTCTACTTCGTGAGCTACTGGCTTCAAAGTTGTGTGAGCCAGCGATTTGGCTGCTGCATAAGTTAGTTTGCTCTGGAGCCATCCTTCCTGAGTGAAGGCAAAAATGTGTAAGCCAGAGGCTAAAAAATTGTGAGTTAGCTCACACTAACTCAGCTTAGAGGGAAAATTGATGAAAGCCCTAAGGTCTGCCAGCAAACAGCCCCTGGGAAGACTGTAACCATTGCTGTCATATATCATCAGCATCATGGGCCAGTAAGCCAGTTTGGTGTAGTGGTTAGGAGCGCAGACTCTAATCTGGGAGAACTGGGTTTGATTCCCCACTCCTCCACATGCAGCTGCTGGCGTGACCTTGGGCAAGCCGTAGTTCTGATAACAGCTGTTCTTGAAAAAGACAGTTGAAAAAGACAGTTTCTGTCAGAGCTCTCTCAGCCCCACCTTCCTCACAGGGTGTCTGCTTTGGGGAAAGGAAAGGAGTTTGTAAGCCGCTCTGAGACTCCTTTGGGTATTGAAGGGCGGGGTATAAGTCCAATCACTTCTTCTTCATCATCACGATTGTTAATAGCCCTGGAAGAATGTGTGTGTGTTTGGGGGGGGGGAGAGAAAGGGCTTTCCTGCATTTTCATTTGCCTCACTTCTGTGTTCCAGTTTCTTTGTTTTCTTTCTTCTTTTTTGTTCTGCATGTGTTTGCACTCCCTCTAGTGGTTGATTCGATATTACATTGCTTTGTGTCTGGCATATCTCCCTACAGATTTAAACTATAGGTTTTTATGCTGGACATAAAGCAATGTCATAACAAATCGACCAGTAGAGGGACCAAAAGGCATGTGGAACAGAACCCCTTCCCCCCCAAGTGACGAAAATGAGAATGCAGAAAGGCCCAAAGTCAGGGTGCTCCTCTCCCCCCCCCATCGCACCAGAGCAGTGTTTTTGATCACTAACCTATGTGGGGGGGAGGGTAAGGGTCGGTCCCCCTCTTGCCCTCCTCATCAGGGTTACAATTCGAATTGCAATCTAAATGTAATTGCTGGTAGGATCCAACCAGCCTGTTGTAGCATCTGGTTTGCTTCCCTAGCTCTGAGCTTGCAGGGTGGCCTTAAGCAAACCGTTCTCTCTGCTATCCTGCAGCAACACATAAAACACAAACACCCTTGCAACTAATCTGCAATCAGGAGATGGTAATCTTGGCATACATAGATGGCTTCTTCTTTTTTTTTTTGCAAAGATGGCTGAGATTACGTACATGAAATGCTTGGAAGAGAGAAAGCCTATCTATAAATGCTACTATTAAAATCTGGGCCACGGTTGAAGGGAGCGATGCTTCGTTTCAAGTCCTTATGTTGTGTTTTACAGTTCTGATTTTATGAGCAAAATGTTGCTCAACACAACGAAGAGCAGCTCATGCCTCCATCGTCACCCCTCCTCTGCAGCTGAAAATAAATGCCAAATTCCCCTCCCCTGCAACTCTGGGATAGCGCCGCAGAGTCCGACAAAGGGAAAAGAAACCCAAATTCAAGTCATTAAAAAAAGGAGACCAAAACGAGATGGGAAAACATCCAATCTAGAAAGTGGTTGATTCCTTTGTCGGTGGGAGAGCCAAATTGCTTGCACCTTTGTGATTATAAATTTGTTTTCACGGGATGCAATTGTCATAAACATGCGCAAATGAAAAAGCAGAACTTGTTCGCAGATTGCATAAGAAGCTTTCCAGAGCCCTCAGAGACTCAGCCAGCAATGTGCCAGGAAAAAAAATTACGGAAAAATAAAAAGCAAATAGAACATTAACAAGCGCAGTTACGTTTTTGGGGTTTTTTGCTTTAGTCAAAACAGGACTGTGTTAATCTGCCCGATAGGCCTTCCTAAACTTCAGACTGGTGGTGTGCAGAAGCGAAATGCATCTGAAAGTTAACTCACTGGCACCCCCTGTGGCTCAGGATTAGTCATTACAGACTCAATGGTCAAGTTTTTTTATCATCTGAAAACAGAAAAGGAGGAAGAGCTACAGCATAATTTCGCTAGCTGCCTGCCCCATAAACATCTCCGGCGGAGAGGGCAAGTGCACAAGACCAACCTTTTCTCTTTCAATATACATAAATTGTTAACCCTTAATACTGAAAAATCAAGTTTAGAGTCCAGTGGCACCTTTAAGACCAACAAAGGTTTATTCAAAGTATGAGCTTTCGTGTGCAAGGCACACTTTGTCAAATATATTGGAAAGGAAGCTGGATTTCAAACTTATAGACAGGGCCGTAGCCAGGTTTTTGTAATACAGGGGGCCTTTAAATATGTCGGCGGGCACTGACGTCACAAAATAAAAAATAAAATAAAATAAAAATAAAATTTTAAAACCTCTTTTGCAGTGTTTGAAGTCTGCTTGCCTACGTGGGGAAGCAAGCTGCACTTGGGGAAGGGGCGGCAGTGGGGAGTCCTCCAAGTGGCCCAGAGAGTTGAGGGCCCTGGGGGCTGTATGGAAGTCAGGGGGTCTTGGCAGGAAGTCAGGGGGCCAGGCCCCGAAATGCCCCACTGTTGCTACGGACCTGCTTATAGATACAGGCTGAAGTTTGAAATCTAGCTTCCTTTCCGATGTATTTGACAAAGTGTGCCTGCACACAAAAGCTCATACCTTGACTAAACCTTTGTTGGTCTTAAAGGTGCCCCCCCCCCCACTGGACTCTGAATTTGTTCTGCTGCTTCAGACCAACACGGCTGCCCCCACCTGGAACTGAAAAACCAAGTTAATTCATGCCACAGTATTCCCCATTGCTCTGTATGGGTGTGAAAGTTGGACCATGAAGAAAGCACCTTTAAGATCAACAAAGTTTTATTCTGGGCGTAAGCTTTCATGTACGCGCACAGTTCTTCAGGTACACTGAAACAGAGTCACCAGCCATCACATATACGTAGCGAGTGAGGGGGGGGTGTTGCCAGGAAGGGCCCATTAGAACTAAGACTGGATTAAGGCAATTGGTAACTGTGAATAGCAGCAAATATAGCTAAGATTGGGTCCAAATATCTAAAATAAATAAATATCCAATAAGTATATGAAATATCCAGTAAGTACATGGTACACTAACGTGGCTGCGTTTGATTTGTTAGTGGGGAGAAGAACTGCATTTCTGTTACAAATAAAACAAAACTTGCAAAGTCAGAGTTTATTGTGCTGCCCTTTCCCAAACAATGAAGGAGAGAAATAGATAACATACATCAAAAGGCCTCAGTTACAGACAATATTTCAACAGTTCAGGCCTAACAGTCTAGGCAACGTTATTGTTGGCAAGCCCATTCGGTGCCCGTGCTCCTGTCTTTGCAAACCGTGCAGTTTTGCCTGTGATGGGACAGTCGTTTCCATGAGCAGAGTCCTTACATTTAAATAGTCCAAAGAAAGCATAGACACACACAAAAAAATGGAAAGACAGGAAATTACAACTTGGCCCCTTCTGCACACAACACAGTCAGCGTGCACCAGATCTTCCCGCAAACCACCCCCCCTTCCCCACGATCACATTTCTGTACCAGCCCCCTTGCAGGGCAGTTTACTCTCGTCTCCGTAGCCTCAAAATGCAACCCCCGGGAAAGCTTCAGAAGTTAAGGGGAGTCGGTAACTTGGGGGTCTGCACGGGGGGGGGGGACAGCAGGGAAAGGAAGCACTCAGCGCTCAGGCAACCTCAAGCAGCAGGTAGGATTTTCTTCACAAAGTCAACAATGTGAGAAGCCGGATGCACGGGGTCATACTCTGCAAAGATGTGGCAAATGTTTTCGGAGTCGGCTGGGCTCTTGGCAACGACACCAAAGATCCTGTGGTGAGAAATGGGAGAGGAACACACATCCTGAAGGGATACGCTTACATCCACGAGCGATAAAGAGCCGGCTTCGGGAAAGGGGCAGACAGGGCAGGGCGGCACTCTGTGGTTTAATTAAGCCATTTCCCAAAGGCTTATTTGGTGTAATTTAATCTGTTTCTGGTAGGCATGGGAGATAGGGAAGACCCGCTTGCTTTGTCTTTTATTCTCTCCCCTCTCAGTGCCTTTTATTCTTGTTTCCCCCAATGCATTTTATTCTTACGCCTCCCTCACCCACCCAGTGCCATCTAATTTGAAATTGTAATCTCCAAAGGATGGGAAAAAGAAATGCTCAGGTCGATGTGCCTAGATGATGCGCAGAGAAGTACAAAGGTACCGGAGATATAATGAAAAAAAACCCAACAAAAAAGGGTGTAAAAAGATTCAGTATAAAGCTCAACGATTCTTGAATGTCAGTGCTCACATAACTACAAAATGGATAAGAATAATGAATACAAACAGGAGACCATCCGCTCTCCCCGTTCGGCCCACTAGGGGAGCCACCTCCAAGCTGGGAAATATCTGGAGATTTTGGAGGTGGAGCCTGAGGAAGGCGGGGTTTGGGGAGGGGAGGGACTTCAGTGGGGCATAATGCCATAGAGTCCCCCTTCCAAAGTGGCCATTTTCCTCCAGGTGAACTGATCTCTGTTGCCTGGAGAGAGGGGTGCCATTCCCCAGGTGGGGGAGGGGGATCACCTGCTTTCGCGGGTTCCTGCCCACTGCCAGCTAGTTGGCCAGCAGGAGGAAATTCTCCCTACCTCAATGCCATGCCCGACACGCTGATGTCACCTCATCAGTGCGTTGCGTTGTGGGGGCATTACACTCTGCTTTTTGGGCACAACTCTATGGTTGGAGGCTATTTTTACCATAGAGTTTTGCCCAAAAAGCAGAGCGTCACCCCCCAATGTCACCAACACACTGATGTAATTTCCATTGACATCAGCGCATCACACAATGTCGCTGCCCACCCCCAGAACGCTCCCAAAACCCCCTACTGGTGCAATGAAGGGACTTGGAACCCTACCTGGAGAGCAGCTGCAATCCCAGGAGGTCTCCGGCCATCACCTGGAGGCTGAACTTTGCAAGGAAAAACAAATGTGATGTGATAATGAAACCTTGTTAGAGAAAAACACATCTTCTTGAATTATCCAGTGAATAACAAATCATTAAAAGTTTCTTCTTTGAAGTAAATTGGTCTCAAGTTTTTCTTTCTGATGGTACAGTGCTCAATGGATTGTTTCACTCAAGGTTTCATCAGATGAGACCTGACACCTTTTGTGTTTTTTCTACTACCTCTTCCTTTCTAACTTACATCATTTGATAGTTAGCGAAACTGGATAATTAAAGAAGATGTATTTTTCTCTAACAAGGTTTTGTTATCATATCACGGCTGTTTTTCCTTACAAAGTTCAGTCTGTCCCGTGATCTCTCGTCCTTGACTTTAATCACCTGTAGGCAGGGCTATTTTTGTAGCAGGAACTCCTTTGCATATTAGCTGACACACCCCTAATGTAGCCAATCCTCCAAGAGCTTACAGAGCTCTTCTTACAGGGGCTACTGTAAGCTCTTGGAGGATTGGCTACATTAGGGGTGTGTGCAAAGGAGTTCCTGCTACAAAAAGAGCGGCATGGGTGCTTCCGGTGAATATCCTGGAGTGATGTCCTGTTGCTGGCGTGACTGTGATGGTATGGTCAAGAACCGAACCACTTTCCCCTGCCCCCATGCAGCTCCCTGTAAAGCTTTTTGCAGCCCAGTCTTGATCAATCACCCCCCCCCCCATCTTGCTTACCTTGAAGTCCTGGAAAATTTTTGCCACCTTTTTGGGGAAGAAAGAAAGAGGGGGAAGTTAAGACTTCACATACATCCTAGCACACTTTCTTTATATATCACTAAAAAAGGACAAAAAGGATCCCTCAGCCCAGGCAAAATAGCTAGAAGCTTTGAAGAAGGCCCTTCTAGTAAACCTTGTGTTCTTAACGTTCCTTTATGAAATGCAGTTTTGCGGGAAGGTAAATCTTCACAGCTGTACTCAGAGGTACCTAACCGTAGTCCAGTTAAGGTTCTGTCCTCGTCTCTGATTTTCGATCCTGGCACATTCTGAAACTTTCCCCACAAGTTTTAGTTATAAAAACGTGCGTTACAAACATGTGCATTTATGTGCCAGCTTGCCTTTCCTCTCATTGAGCCCACCAGTCAAGATGCCCAGGTGGCATTCCAAATGCTGCATCCCTAGCATGTTGCCCAGAAGCATAGTAGAATCTTCACTGGAAATCTGCAGCATAATATGTAAAAACGGGCTGAGTATTGTGACTGGAGATGAACAGTCCAACTTTTGAAATAGCTCACAGTTTTTTAGCCTCCGGCTCACCCATTTTTGTCTTAGCTCGGGAAGTATGGCTCCAGAGCAAACTGATTTATGCAGTAGACAAATCATTCTCAGATTTGGTGCTGAATGTCTTCTCTGGGTGCGCGAGCTTTTGGCTGAGGACAGCGGTGGTCACCATCTTGGCTGGCACCCTCTTGGGCTCCCTGTACTTGCCCTGCCCCTCTTCCCCCCTACCCGCAAAGTGGTTGGCGGTCTGTAATCGGAAACGATTGGAACTCGCCATCTGAGTCTTTTAGATCTGTGGCATTAATGTTATTCAGCTGTTTTATTCTACGTTTGATGTTTTCATCATCACTGTATATCGCCCAGAGCCCTGCAGTAGCAGGGATTGGGTGATCCGTAAGTCCAATTAATGATGATGATGATGATGATATATGATAGCAATGGTTACAGTCTTCCCAGGGGCTCTTTGCTGGCAGACCTTAGGGCTTTCATCAATGTTCCCTCTAAGCTGAGTTAGTGTGAGCTAGCTCACAGTTTTTTAGCCTCCAGCTCACACATTTTTGTCTTAGCTCAGGAAGGATGGCTCCAGAGCAAACTAGTTTATACAGCAGCCAACTCGCTTGCTCACACAACTTAAAAGCCAGTAGCTCACAAAGTAGAATTTTTTGCACACAAGACTCCATGGCTTAGAAGGAGCATTGATCTCCATTGACTGGCAATGGCAACCATAAAGAATCAGATCTTGTATCTGTCTCATCTCTAGGACATTTGTATCCCACATTTTCTTGAAGGAGCTCAGGGCCAGTGAACATAATTCCTTCCTCCCCTGTTTTATTCTTACAATAACCCTGTGAGGTTATCTAGGCAAAGTACAGTGAATGACCCAGGGTCTCCTAGGGAAATTCATGAGGGTGGGGATTTGAATCCAAGTCTCATTTAACTACTGCAGCTGCACAGAGGGTCGTTAACTTCCAGGAGCAGGCTAGAGTTCCCCTTGCCAAGATCCAAGGGCAGTTGCTTTGCTTCTAGCTTGGATTTAAGAGGAGAAAGCAGCCAGAAAACCAAACAAAATGCTCACAGAAGGCAGGAGAAGAGCTCATGGAGCTGTAGCTAGGCAACGGACTAGTGCTTCCTCATTTGGAAAGCATAGTTAGTAGCAGCCCTAACCTGAATAGCTCAGGCTAGTCCAATCTCGCCAGATCTCAGAAGCTACGCAGGGTCAGCCCTGGCTGGTATTTGGGTGGGAGACCGCCAAGGAAGTCAAGAGTCGCAACTCAGAGCCATGCAATGGCAAACCACCTCTGAATGTCTCTTGTCTTGAAAACCCTATGGGTCGCCATAGGTCGGCTGTGACTTGATGGTGCTTCCCACCACGACATCCAGCAACCATGTTCTGTTCTAGATGGCCATGGACACAGAGATATTTGGAGGAGGGGACACTAAAACAAAGAGCGACTGGGGGAAATCAAGGGAGGAAATGAAACACTTGGAATCTTTGGATTTGGCCTATTAAATGTTATTCCATGGGCCTGTTGCATGTGTCTTGACACTTACTTCCGGTTTTCTGGATCCAGGTCACAAAAGCTGATGGTGGCCAATGGGTAGTGACGTCTGAAAAAAACCCTGCAGAGGACGGAGGGAAACCAGGCAATGAGATTTTTCTAGTAGTAAGATTTGTTACTAAGAACCATGTTGACCTAGTGTTAAGAATTACAGCCAGCATTTTTCTGTCTGTCTAGTCCATTTTATCCTACTCTTTCACCAGGGAGCCCAGGGCAGCATACAAAGTTCTACCTAAACCATTTCATCCACAAAACAGCCCTGTAAGGTAGGTGAGGCTGAAACAAAGTAACTGGCCCAAAGTCTTCCAGTGATTTGGTTTGATTTACTTCATTTATAAGGAGCTGCGGTAGCTCAACTGGTTAAGACGCTGAACTGCAAGCTGGAAGGTCGGTAGTTCAGCAGTTTGAGACCCGAGTGCCGCGTGACGGAGTGAGCTTCCGTCTCTAGTTCCAGCTCCTGCCAACCTAGCAGATCGAAAGCAAGAAATTGCAAGTAGATAAATAGGTACCACTTCGGGGGGAAGGGAACAGCGTTCCGTGCACCTTGGTGTTTGGTCATGCCGGCCACATGACCACGGAAATGTCTTCGGACAGTGCTGGCTCTTCGGCTTGGAAATAGAGATGAGCACCGCAACCCTAGAGTCGGACTCAACTGGCTTTCGAGCAAGGGAAACCTTTACCTTTACTTCATTTATACCATCTTTGCTTTAGCAACTCAGACAACCCAATCCTGTGCATGTAAACACTCAGAAGTAAATCCTACTGAACGCAAGGGTCCATAGGACTGCAGCCTTATTTCATCTCTGATACTATCTCATGTATTCTAACTGTCCCTATTTACCAGTACCCTGGTTCTTGTCCCTGATTTTATTTATTTATTTGATTTATATACCATCCTCCCCATAACGGGCTCAGGGCACTGTACATCAATTTATATAATACAATTAAAGCAACGTTAAAATGACAGATTGCACAGAAGAATATCATAAAATACCATGTAAAAACGGAGATATCAGTTGTCAATCAAATCCAGGTGCCTAATCAGATGTCTAATCAGATCCAGGCCACTGATGGGTGATTGGCCAGAAGCTGGGGGGGAGGGGCGTCTGCTGCCTCAACCAAATGCCTGGTGGAAGAGCTCTGTCTTGCAGGCCCTGCGGAACTGCAATTAGTCTCGCAGGGCCCTGATCTCATAAAAAGAAATTGGATTTATACTCCGCCCTTCACTCTGAGTCTCAGAGCGGCTTACAAACTCCTTTCCCTTCCCCTCCCCACAACAGACGCCCTGTGAGGTGGGTGGGACTGAGAGAACTCTGACACAAACTGCTCTTTCAGGAACAGCTGTGCCAGAGCTTGTGACTGACCCAAGGTCACATCAGCAGGTGCAAGTGGAAGACTTAACCGCTACACCAAACTGGCTCTCCTACACCAAACTGGTGAGGGCCAGGCTAATCGGACTCATTCCACCAGGTGGGGGCCAGGCTAATCGGACCTCCCTGGGGCCGGAGACCACCAAAAGATTTTGATTTGTGGACCTCCGGGGCTCATCCAGGGAGAGACAGTCTTGAGGGTATGCTGGCTCCGTATCAGTGACAGTGATAAGTCTCTGATTCTGTTTTCTCCTTTGGACAGAATTGTTAATGTGAGCACATGTTGCAGTTTTCGTAACATAACTTCCTATAGTCAGTTGCTAGTCCAGATACATTCCAGAGGGGTAGGCATGTCTGTCTGCTACAAACACAATGGTGAGTCTTGTGGCATCTTAAAAACTGACAGATTTACTGCAACACAAGCATTTGTTATTTTGTCCAGGTACCGGAAAATAAGTACAGCCAGATCCAGTGTGAGACTAAACATTCTATTAAACTTTCTTAAGTTAATTGCCAAACTGAAACCCCGTTACGGTCACTTTATGGGTTGGATCCAAGCACCTTTTTGGCTCAGCCTTGCCTGTTTCCTCAACTCTCTGCAACCCCTGTCCCATGTTAGTTCCTCAGACCTTTATATAGCCATTTGGATGGTCGAAAGGGGCCAATCTTCCCTTGCCCACCACTAGAAAAACCGGTGGGAATCACAAATCAATGTGTTCCTCCACATTCTCATTTTTGTTGCTTTTGTGTCCCTATTACTTCTTTTTCCCTTTTCCACACATGTTTTGCTGCCTTTAGTGGTTGATTCAATATTACATCGCTTTACGTCTGGCATAAAAACCAGCACTTTAAATCTGCAGGGATATATGCTGAACATACAGCGATGTAATATCAAATCGACCACTAGTGGGAGCAAAAGGTAAAAAGGGGTAAAGGTTCCCTTGCTGGAAAGCCAGTCGAATCCGACTCTAGGGTTGCGGTGCTCATCTCCATTTCAAAGCCGAAGAGCCAGCGCTGTCCGAAGACATTTCCGTGGTCATGTGGCCGGCATGACTAAACACCAAGGCTGTTACTTTCCCACTGAAGTGGTACCTATTTATCTACTTGCAATTTCTTGCTTTCGAACTGCTAGGTTGGCAGGAGCTGGAACTAGAGACGGAAGCTCACTCCGTTATGCGGCACACTCGGGACTTGAACTGCTGAACTACCAACCTTCCACAGCCTGCAGTTCAGCGTCTTAACCAGTTGAGCCACCCCCGGAAGCAATAGGGACACACAAGCAATCAACATGAGAATGTCGAACAGCCCAATGCTGGGGAGGCTATTTTAGAATAAAAGGACACAGCCAGCAAAAAAAGGCCCTCTATTACGCACAGCTGTGTGCATAGACCCTCAGGCAATGATGCAAAAATAGGGGTGTTGCAAGTACGTAGGACAGTCTCTGTTTTCATTTAAGAAACATTTCCCATCCCAGACTTTCCCGTCCCAAACATTTCCATCTTTTTCATCCCAAACAGTTCACCTGAATAGAACAGCAACGTGCCCTAAATCAGTCTCCTTACTTTCTCTGGATGTCTGTCAAGGTAATTCCTTGCTCGGTGACTTTGAAATGGACAACGGTGGGTGTGGGCGGAGTCTCCAGTTCAAAAGTGGAAGACACAGCTTTCTGAACTGCTGCTTTGCCGGTGAGAGTCTCCATGGTCACAGAGCGCAGGTACAAGAGATTGCAAACTGCACACGAAGGAGACGGAGAAGAAAAAGAAGATAATTACTGACAAATTGTGGCTGCCGTTATCTACCACTGGCCTTTGGAAATGAAAACAGAAGTCAAGAAAAGGCACTCAAGATAGTCAAACACTGTGGCAGTGTGTGCCTGGGGGGGGGGGTCAGCCTTGATGGTATTTCCCACTTGCAAAGAAACATAGCTGGATATACATTTCTGCACTGAAGCTGTACACTATTTTCTTTTAAAAAATAGACTATTAAAGAATCAGGTATGCTGGTGGGGGGGGGGAATAAAGGAGAAGCAAGTTGACACATCTTTACTGTCTTGTCAAGATGGGGCCCAGTAACACTGCGGGTAAAGTCTCCTAGGAACAGCAAACACGGTTCGCCCCAAAATTCTTATACAGGTCAGGGTAGGGATGTACAATTTCCTTCCATGTTCATGTATTTCAAACATGTTGTTTGTTCATTTTTTTTGGTTATTTTTTAAAATAGATATGTTCATTGTCATTTGTCCACCGGATTCAGTAGGAAACACATTTCTGACTGTAACCTTATTGGTTGCCCATCCAATTGGGATCAAAAGACCAAAGGCTGTAGCCCTCCGGCAAAGGTTCTCCTCTGCCAAATATCAGAGGGATGGGAGAAAAGTGCTTAGTTTTATGGACAATTAAAATGAAGGTTCGTGAATCTTTTTTTTAAAATGTTAGCTGTCCTGGCTTCTAAAAAGCTGTTTACCCACTTCCATGAGATATGGGGAAGCATTTGCACCTCTGAAGGGATTGTGCTGGAGACAGAGCAGCTAAGGAAGGCATTTGGCCACTCTGCAAAGGCAAGCAGAAAACTGCAGTGGCTCCAAAGTGAGCATGAGGCACTGAAGGATGGGCAGAGGACCTTACCGGGGTAGCCCAGACAAACCCGATCTCATCAGATCTCGGAAGTGAAGCAGGGTTGACTCTGGCTAGTCTTGGATGGGAGACTTCCTTGGAATACCAAGTTGGAAGGACAAAGGCGGGCTTTATTCAGCCACCTCTCTGAATAGCCTCCAGGCCCCCAGTTGGGGGTCATTCACCAGAGGTCGCCATGACTTCCATGTGCAGACACACGCACACACACAAATACCCCCAAAAAAAGAATGGGCAGAGGAGGTGGTCGGCTGCCCTGTGAAAGCAGATGTTATGCTATAGGTTGAATCTGACAACCCCAGGAAGCCAGGCAGATTTATAGAGGCAGACTTGGGCTCACATCCCCAGGAAACAGACAACAGGGTGGAGAAGATGTGTGCATACTCCAACCACTATTATCTTATTTAATTCATTTATACCCCGCTTTTCTCCCCAGTGAGAACTCAAAGCGGCTTACATCATTCTCTTTGCCGCCATTTTATCCTCACAACAACCCTGTGAGGTAGGTTAGGCTGAGAGTGGGTGACCAGCCCAAGTTCACCCAGCGAGCTTCCATGGCATAAGTGAGGGTTTGAGCTTGGTTCTTCCAGATACTAGTTCGACACTTTTAACCACTTTACCAACTGGTAACTCTGACAGATGGAAACAGACAGACTTTACCTAACCACTCAGGGAAGGGGAATAATAAATAAATAATAAAGCACCAGAAATAACATGAAAATGCCCAATCTCAAACAAAACACCACTGCTTCAGGCAAAGAGGGAAACTGGGAGAAAGCCACCCACCCACCAATGCTTATATAGAATAAAAAAAGCCCTTGCCAAGTCACTGAGGTAGTAGTGAATGGTAGGAAAACTCTAGAAAGAAAGACCAATCCAACCCAATGCACAGCAGTGGCAAGACGTCTTACTTAGATGATAAGAAAGCTTCCATGGGCTTTTCTGCATTCTCATTTTCCTCGCTTGTGTGCCCCTATTGCTTCATGGTTTCCACCCCCTGTTCTGCATGTCTTTTTCTCCCTCTAGTGGCCAATTAGATATTACATCTCTGTATGTCCAACATAAAAACCTGCAGTTTAAATATGCAGGAAGATATGTCGGACATAAGACGATGTAATATTGAATCGACCACTAGAGAGAGCAAAACAATTGAGGAACACAAGACACCCCCCTGAAGCAATAGGGACACGCAAGTGAGGAAAAATAGAATGTGGAAAGCCCCATATCAGTTCCTCCTGATCTTTCCTGATTTTCTTCCCACTTCCTCTAACCCCTAATTTCCTTGAACTCTCTAAAAAAGGCTGCCAAGAGCCAGGAAAGTGAATAAAATGTTTTAACAAAACATTCATTCCTTGACTGATAGCCCCATCCATTTTTGTTACTGGAAGGAGTGTTATACACTAGTTCTTTTCCCCTATTCATTTGGAGACAAACACACATCCCTAGTCTAGGGTATCACCTCACCCGGCCATGACTTATCATGGTAAGGAGATTTCCTGGGCTGGTCTTCCCATGGTGGAGCATAGGCTGAATCTCTGCCTGATGTCTTTCAGGTAATTCAGTGAGAGTTACACAACACACAAAACACTGTCCATCAGCTATCATAGGTGGTTATGGCTTTCAGATCAAGAATGACATCATAACCCTGAATTGGATAACCCAGGCAAGCCCGATTTCATTCGATCTTGGAAGCTAAGCAGGGTCGACTCTGGCAAGTATCTGGATGGGAGACTTCCTTGAAATACTAGAGGTGGTGACAGGCTTTATTCAGCCACCTCTCTGAATATCCTCCAAGTTCCCAGTAGGGGGCAGTCACCAGAGGTCACCATGACTTCCAGGAGCACACACACTCACATGCACAAACACACACAAACGTATGAAAAATACAAAAAAAAACATCATGAAACATCAAGCAACAAGAATGCAATCAAAACCATTATAAAATAGACAACTGAAATGAACAGGAACACTCCTGGGACACTCACCAGCTGCTTTCTTTGGAAGGGGAAGTGTGGCTTCTGTGCCCATGCCAAGATTTTCCTCTCCACCAACAAAATCTGAATCAGAGAGGGGGGGGGGGAATCATACTAGAAACTTACCTGACTGAAGACAACCATCCACCAGTTACAACCCACATTGCAAAAAGGAACTAAATTATGGTGGGGAATTTCTGGGAAAATAAAGTCCCCTGTAACTGGTCTTTTCCACATTCTCATTTTCCTTCCTTGTGTGTTCCTGTTGCTTCAGTGTTTCCTCCCCTGTTCTGCACATGTTTTGCTCCATCTAGTGGCCGATTTGATATTATATCATTCTATGTCTAGCATATTTCCCTGCAGATTTAAACGGCAGGTTTTTATGCCAGACATTAAGCACTGTAACATAGAATAGACCACTAGAGGGAGCAAAACACATGTGGAACAGAACTCCCTCCTCCTGAAGCAACAGGAACACACAAGCGAGGAAAACAAGAATGGGGAAAAGCCCACTGGGGGCCATGATAGACTAGATGCTGGGAGATCTCAAATAGGGTTGCCAGACCCCTGGTTGAGGTGGGCATTCCTCAAATTTCAGGGGCTCCAATACACCACTGGCCAGCTGGATGACGGGGAAGCCCCACCCCCCAAAAGCCCCTTCTTGCGTCGATGTCATCAGCACAATGACATCATGCGGAAGTGATGTCATCACACTGGGCACATTGCACAGCAATGCGCTAGCATTTTGGCCAAAACTCTATGATAACCATAGAGTTTTGACCAAAATGCTAGCGCATCGCCACACAACATACCTGGTTCTGTGTGACATCATCATGCCAACAACATTGCATGCAGCAACATCGCCCCACCCTCCCCACTCCTGGAAAGCTCCCTCCCACCCTCCGACAACCAGGTAAGTAGACCTGGCAACCCTAATCCAAAATCTTCCCACCATTCTGAAAATGGCTGTTGTGTGGAGCTCTCATTCAGACTGGAGCTGCAGTTCAGGGGAAAAAATGGCTTAGATTAGGGTTAACAGGCCAGAAGAAACCGTTCTGTCCTTTTAAACAGAGGCTTAATGTGTGAAAATGGGCAATTGACGCTTTTCATGGCAGGGACGTAAATAACACTTGCTAAATAAAATACCATTAAGCTGACCTGGATAGCCCAGGCTAGCCTGATCTCATCAGATCTTGGAAGTTAAGCAGAGTGGGCCCTGGCTAGTATTTGGACGGGAGACCTGAAAGGAATACCAGGGTTTTGACTCAGAGGCAGGCAAACCACATCTGAACGTCTCTTGCCTTGCCAACACTATCGGGTTGCCAATAAGTCTACTGTGACTTGATGAAGAAAAAAAGAAAGAAAGAAAGAAAGAAAGAAAGAAAGAAAGAAAGAAAGAAAGAAAGAAAGAAAGACTTTGATTAAACTCCATGTCATTGGCAACCCTGACTTGAATCTTCCCACTTCCAAGAGTCACTGGGAAAAACTATAATACTAGGAAAAGCTGAAGGCAGCAGGAAAAGAGGAAGGCCCAAACCATGTTGATGGATTGACTCAATCAAGGAAGCCACAAAGACCCTCCGTTTTTAAGACCTGAGCAAAGCTGTTAATGAGAGGACGTTGTGGAGGACATTCATTCATCCGGTTGCCATAAGTCAGAAGGGACCTGAAGGCTCCTAACATACCATGGCCCATTCTGCATCCAGCATTTGCTCCACATTTTCTCAGCACTCGACCTCGTTCCCCCTTGCCTTGGAATATCTGTTTTCATTCAATCTGGTATGCAGATTTTCCTGTTTCAGTACTTGTCTCAGTGGTCATTAACCACTTGAGCCAAGTAATGCATGGTGAGGTGATAAATATAGAGGGGGAAATAGGGGTGGGGGGGAACTGACAGAGATCAATGAAGCTGTGTCAAGTTGTCTGCTTGTTATTTCCTTTGAATTGGAAGTGGAGGAAGGAAAAGGTGCTACTCAAAACCACATTCAGACACCCCAGGGCAAAGTCACCCCTGAATGGCCATAAATCTATGTAGAAGGTACCATAAAACCTGATGAACAAAGAAAGTGGAAGTGGCATGCAGTGTAGAGGGAGATTAACCTCCTGACATGGCTGTGGAAAAAACTGCAAGGAAATAGACGGGTGCAGAATCAGCCAATGTACAGAAAACAGGAGCTGTTGTGTTTCTTCCCCCCTCCCAGGTGGGATCCCATCTCCCGACTACCTTTGCAATACAACTAACAGCTATACTGACCAGCTCTTTGAACCCTGATTCAGCCACCTGTCTTGCCTTGCCCCCTGCATGTTTTTCAGATCTTTAAAGTGTGTATGCTATAATTGTTTATTATTATTGCAAAGCTACACTCTGGGAAGGAAAATGTAGATGCATGACGTCACAGAAGATAACCAATCAGCACTGTGAACAGCTGTTTTCTGCCCAGCAAACTAAGGCAATTCCCCCCCCCCGAAGCTTAATAGGAAAAAAAAATATTGACTTTCATAAGCAGCAGTGAGCACACTTCCACAGATGTAACACCAATCACGTAATGTTTATGTGTGTGCAGCCTTAGTTTTGAGTTCTCTCATGTCTGAGAGGGCAACCACAGTGCCCTAATTCTCACGATTCTTTTCCAGGAAACCAAAATGAAAATTAGGTAAAGGTAAAGGTTCCCTTCCTCGAAAGCCAGTCGAATCTGACTCTAGGGTTGCGGGGCTCATCTCCGTTTCAAAGCCGAAGAGCCAGCGCTGTCCGAAGACGTTTCCGTGGTCATGTGGCCGGCATGACTAAACACCAAGGCGCACGGAACGCTTTTACCTTCCCACTGAAGTGGTACCTATTTATCTACTTGCAATTTCTTGCTTTCGAACTGCTAGGTTGGCAGGAGCTGGAACCAGAGATGGGAGCTCCCTCCGTCATGCGGCAACTCAGGTCTTGAACTGCTGAACTACCGACCTTCCACAGCCTGCAGTTCAGCATCTTAACCACTTGAGCCACTGCAGCGCCTTAAAATGAAAGTTACAGTGCTCTTTAAGAAAAATGATATACCAATCTGTATAAATGATTAATAAGGAAGGTATCAGAGCTATGAGCTTCTTTATCCAGTTCCCGGCCTGGATGAGACGCATTCCAGCTCAGTATGCCTGAAGGTAAAAGTATGAACTGGATCCGGAAGACCCATAAATATACCACCCTATTGACCAGTTTAAACAAAATACCAACTCCTTCCCATTCAATCTTGGTCGGAACAATGTGTTCATCATGCCTAACATCACATGCACTCACGGGTGGTCTTAGTGATTTTGAGGCTCTGGGCAAAAGTCCAGGATGGGCCCCTGGAATCATTGCCAACCCCAAACTGGGCCAAGCCAGAGGAGGTCCTTGCCCCGTCAGGTGGGTGTGAGCTGCCTCGGGCAGGTAGAGCCCAACTGCCCAAGCAGCAGAAGGCACAAATGGTGGCAGGAACCTGCTCTGCTGCCCCCTTGTTTGGTTGTGTTTCCCCACCCCCAGGCATGGGGCCCTTGTTGCTCATTGTCTATGACCGCCCCTTTGTGCACTTCAGTGCCTGAGCAGCCTGAATGCACACAATCCCAGGTAGCTGCCTATATTCAGTTCCAATGTCAGACCCTGATAGGGTTGCCATTCTCCCAATGGGGGTGGGGGTTTACCCACTTTCGGGGGGCCCAATCCGCCACCACCCAGCCGGCTGGCAGGAGAGTCCCTCCTCCAAAAAGCCCTGTCTGCACCAACATGCCCAGCACAATGACGTCGGTGACGTCATCACCCAGGATACATTGCAGGGGGACACTCTAGTGTTTGAGGAAAAAACTCTATGGTTACCATTGAGTTTTTTCCCTCGTAAATGGTAGAGTATCCTCCTGCTATGTGCTCTGTGCAATGATGTCACTTCTGGGTGACATCATCCTGCACATGCACTTTGTGTGCACACCAAAAAGTCCCGGGAACAGAGAGGGATCCCTCAGCTGGTAACCCTCAACCCTGATAATGGGTTTGTTCTCTGCAGTTGGCAACAATTTAGTTCCAGATCAATTCCTCAGCATGGAAATACGCTCGAACAAAGACATTCTGAAGCAGATCTCTCAAGGCCTTTCCTCCCCTCAGACCCAGGGGTTGAAGCCCGTATGTCAGATGTTGTTAGCTACTTTAGTTTACAAACGTACCTTGGCTGGGGATCACCAGTTTGCAGGGTAATGCTAGAGGCATGATGGTGTGTTGATAGACAAATGCTGAGAGACTTCCTGCAGTGAAGAGACAACATTTATTTACTCATTTCATTAGACTTCTACACCGTCCTCCCTGCAAGCAGGCTCAGGGCGGTGTACAACCAATTCATATAAATACATTTCAACGTTGAACGTTGAAATACGTTTCAACAGTCTAAAATATAATATCATAAAACCCAACATCATGTGGCACCGTAATACAATTTAGGCCCCCCCGTTTACTTCAGCAATGGGGGAGGGGGGAGGGGAGAGCAGTTAGTGAACCGGCTAGTTGTTAAGGCCACAATCCGTTTATGATTGTACTAGCACCTTATGATGTGTTTTATTTTATATGTTGAGGTTTTATTTAAATCTTGTGTTTTAACATAACCTGCTGTTTTAACATATGTTCTGTAAGCCGCCCTGAGCCTGCCTTGGTAGGGAGGGCGGGATACAAATAAATAAATAAATAAATAAATAAATAAATAAATCTGTTGAAAACTGTTAAAAACCATTACTGTCCTCAACCATATGCTTGGTGGAATATCTCTGCCTTGGAGGCCTTGTGGAATTGTAACAAGATTCCTGACAGGGCCCTGATGTTAATCTTCAGAGTTCCACCAAGTCGAAGCCAGGGCTGAGGAAGGGGGGGGGGGGTTTGGAAAAAAACATTTATAACCCTCTTGAGTCTTACTTCTCTGTTCAAACAAGGAATGGCTTTGAAAGAAAACAAGGGGGTTTTATGCCACCTCTCCAGAGGCCTGCTAAATATGGCTTACAATTAGAACCATTTATCAGTATAAAAAGAAACAAGACAAGCCTGTCTTTTTTTAAAAAAAGCCCAGAGACATAAGAACAGCATAAAACTATCAATAAAGCAGATCTCTGTCCAGAGTAGGGATGCCAGCCTCCAGGTTAGGGTTGCCAGAACGTCACAGGAAGTGTCGCACGACGATCTGGGCCATGCCCCCAACGTGAGCGACGTGGCTGCGTCACCTCTGGTGACGCAGCTTCGGGGGTAGAAGTTCCCCCTGGGGCCCGATTCCACCGCGGCGGAAATCGGGCCTCCAAAGCGGGGTTTTCCCCGCCCTCCGCCCCCACTTGGCAGCCCTACTCCAGGTGGGACCTGGGGATCCCCTGGAATTACAGCTCATCTCAAGACTACAGCGATCGGTTCCCCTGGAGAAAATGGCTGCTTTGGAGGGTGGGCTCTGTGGCACTGTACCCCACTGAGGGCCCTGTCCTCCCCAGGCTCCATCCCCAAATCTTGAGTTCCCCAACCTGGATATGACAACCCGAACCCCCATCCCCCGCTGGTGGCCCAGGGCACCTGGCAACCCTAGTCCAGAAGCTGGAATGATAAAACCCTTGGGTTGCCAGGCTCTGGGTGGGGCCTGGGGATCTCCCGCTTTTACAACTGATCTCCATCTGACAGAGATCAGCTCCCCTGGAGAACATGGCTGTTTCGAAGGGTGGACTCCAGGGCACTGTACCATGCTGAGGCCCCTCCCCTCCCCAAACCCCACCCTCTCCTGGCTCCACCCCCAAAGTCTCCAGGTATTTTCAAGCCCAGACCTGGCAACCCTATAAAACCCGTTAATTAAAACCCTGGGTACAAAGAAACGTTTTGGCCTAGCACCTGACAGACAGCATGCTGAGTGTCTGGTGGCAAGTCTCAAGTGGGAGGGCGCTCCAAAGGCCACCACAGAAAATTCCCCGTCACAGCTACACTGTATATGGATCCCAGCAATACAACTTCAACTAATAATAGTAAGAAAGTGTTGTGTCTTGCCATTGACATATAATGTAAAGCTTGAAACCTCAGTCGGATTGTAATCTGGAACAACACCATTGGCTGAAGCATATACAGTAACCAAAGAAATGAAATGTAAGAGTCTGTGCTGGAGGGAAGACTAATGATTGGACGTTATCCATGTATTGTGATTGGATGTTAACTGTGTAAGGGCGTGGCTACCCCAGCCTTGGAGAGTTTAAAAGGAGCTATGCTCCACTGTTGTTTTGTGGTGTGTCATCTGTTGCTGTGTGATCTTGGGAAGTTCTTGTTCTCAAATAAAGCTGATTCACTTTGTTACTTCCTTCATTGTTGAGTTGCATACTTAACAGAAAGGGTCATGGCTTTATAATGCAGTCTTGGCACAGTTGCCTTACCAAAGTAGGGTTCTTCGTCAGCCCCTTTAAGATGAACTCCTCTGGTGGAAGACTCGATGAGGAAGTGCCTGATGCCATCAGGGCCACCATCTTCCCCTTTAAAAAAGAAACACCTAAAGCTGAAACTTTTAAACATAACTGGAGTTCTGCAAAAATTCAATTTTTAAGTGACTTTAAAAACTGGCACTCCCTTCATAGCCTTTTGTTCCTTAATCTTTCCTCATTTAGCTTCACAGGCAATGATTTCATGCTCTGAATCCTTAGAAACTTAAAGAGCTGTCACTGAGCACTGCTTTGTATATTCCTTAAAAGGGAAATGGTATAAAAAGTTTTCTTTTTGAAAAATAAGTAATTCCCCTTTCTGGATGCAGTTAAGACTAGTACTGAGGTTGCAGGTATGTCTGGGCTACACATTGAAACTAACAGAATAAGGGGAATTTGCTTCGAGAATATTTGTTCCCCTACTAGAAAATATTAGCATTTGAACGTGCATAATAGAATGCATAGAAGCTCTATCACAGAGAAATGGAACCAGATCATTCACACTGCCATCCTAAACAGAGCCACACCTTTCTAAGTTCACTGGAGGCTTCGAAGGTTTTTCACTCTGGTTTAGGATTGCAGTTAAGGGCTTATCTATGCATTGCAACGTCCTTGTGGGACCAACAGGAGGTCCTTAGCATCAGGTGTGATGGAAGTTTTCTGCCTCCCACACACATTTCCAGCTCTTTTCTGCTTGTGACCAAAGCAGCCAGGGAGGAGCTTTAGCCCTTCCCCTAGGGTTGCCAACCTCCAGGTGGCACCTGCAGATCTCCCACTATTACAGTTGATCTCCAGGTGACCAAGATCACTTCCCTTGGAGAAATTGGCTGCTTTGGAGGCTGGACTCTATGGTATTATGCCATGCCTGGCTCCACCCCCAAATCTCCAGGTATTTCCCCTCCCGGAGCTGGCTGCCCTACATCCCCTCCCCCCTGCTGTGTTCACAGTTGCAGGTCTCCTAGTGTGTTTGCTATAGGCTGCCTTGTTAAAATCATGGGGCTACAATGGAGCTCACAGCAGCTTTGCCTAGTGGTTTGGAAAATGCAAAAACAGCAGGGGGGAGAGGCAGGAAAACAGCTGGAATGTGTGTGGGAGGCTCTGGCTGAAAATTCTTTATTTCATGTGCCCTTTGGTTACTGTTATGAAATGGGGAGCTAGCCAGTTGTTCTCATTTGATTTGTTGTTAAGTTGATGCTTCAATTGGTTTTATTGTTCTATACTTAACTCCATTTATTTGTATTGTTTTCTGTATTCATTGTACTTTAAAATGTTGTAAACTGCCCTCAGTCCTGTGTAGGGAGACGGTGGAATTTGCTGCCAGAGGATGTAGTGATGGCCACAGGAATAAACAGTTTTAAAAGAAATTATGGAAGATAAGTCTATCCATGCTTACTAGATATGGTGACTGAGGGGAACCTCCATATTCAGAGGCACAAAGCCTCTGAATCCCAGAGCCAGGAGGCAACATCAGGGGAAGGCCTTGGCCTCTATGGTTTGTTGTTGGCCATCCAGAAGGACTGGTTGGCCTGTGTAAGACAGGATACTGGACTAGTTGGACGACTGGTTGATCCAGCAGGGCTCTTCTTATGTTCTTATGAAGACCTCGGCCTCTGTGCCCTGTTGTTGGCCCTCCAGAGGAACTGGTTGGCCTCTGTGTGAGACAGGATGCTGGACTAGATGGACCCCTGGTCTGATCCAGCAGGGCACTTCTGATGTTCTTCTCAGGGGAAGGCCTCTGTGCCCTGTTGTTGGCGCTCCAGAGGAACTGGTTGGCTGCTGTGTGAGACAGGAGGCTGGACTAGATGGACCACCGGCCTGATCCAGCAGGGCTGATGTTCTTATTGGTATGGGGCATTAAATAAATAAATAAAATTCCCATTACACCTCTGATGCAAAGTCCTTGTGTTTTTCCCTACTGAATATAAGAACTTCATATTGTGTAGACAGACCCGAACTGAACATAAGAACTTCATATGGTGTAGACAGACCTTAACCCTGATGCATGGACACAATTACTGTCTTCTGCACAAGGAACAATGCTGGGAGTGCTTATTTCCTACCAGAAGGTATGTCCAGAACAGTAATTTATATAGAAGCTCACAGGTAATGAGCTCCTTGGAGGATGGATTAAAGAAATCCCAATCTCTGAGATGTAAGAGTGAGGGCATACCTCTACTTTTAATTCAGAAAAGAAAACCCACTTATATTAGGGTTCATAGGGCTTTTCCACATTCTCATTTTCCTTGCTTGTAAGATCCTGTTTCTTGGGGGTGGGTGTTACTATTTTGCACATGTTTTGCTCCCTCTAGTGGTCACTTCTATATTATACCTGTTTCTGTCCAGCATATCTCCCTGCAGATTTAAACTGCAGGTTTTTATGATGGACATAAAATGGTGTAATATTCAATCGACCACTAGAGGGAGCAAAACACATGTGGAACAAAACCCACCCATTCCTGAAAGAAACAGGAACTTATAAGCAAGGAAAATTAGAATGCAGAAAAGCACATAAACTAGAATACTCCAGTACATTTTAATCTTGCTTTCTGTCCATCCCTCTCCCTTCTTTCTTGTCAACACCACAACTGAGAACCTTCAAGCACAGACATCTTCAAAACATACAAAGCCCTTCAGGTGGGGATTCAAGCCCTGCCTGATTTTGCACTAGAGGCTCTCTGAGATGAGGCTCCCTCCCAAACTAGAAAATTCTTGGTACCTGTTTTGCTGCTGGAGACTTTCATGGCCAAGCCAAAGGACCCACGGAAAGAGGTGCTATCCCGCATGATGAAAGTACCAGGGGGTTCGTCCATCAGCAGCTGAACAGCTATTAAAATACACATTGTGAGGGGAAGAAAAGATTACCCCAAAGAAGGATGTATGTCATTTCATGACTATATTTGATCTCCCTGGTATGGGGGAACAATCAGTTCAAAGAGTAGAAGCAGGAGTGAAAAACAGACAACATGACTGGAATCCCATGTGGCGTTCCAGGAATAAAGTAAGCAAGTGGGAAAAGGCCTTTCCGAAACTCACTCCCATGTCCTCCCCTGCTGGCTCTGGGCCTGCTCCACAGGGCTGGCGTGCCCTCTGTTGCACATCCCACACTCCTGGGGCTGGTCTGCCCCTTCCTCTTGTCCTGGTGGTGGTGGTGGAGGCCCCTTTGTAGGGTGTTCCCCCCTCACTCACTCACTCCCTGGCGCACTCACTCCCATGTCCTCCCCTGCTGGCTCTGGGCCTGCTCCACAGGGCTGGCGTGCCCTCTGTTGCACATCCCACACTCCTGGGGCTGGTCTGCATTTAGGCTATCACTCTGATCCAGCAAGGCAAGTTCTAATGGTCTAGATGTACTGCCTCCACCCCAATTAGTCCTTCTGCCTTATTTTACCTTGGTCCCGCGAGATGCTTGGTTTGAACCAATATTTGGAGGTGTCCAGCACAAATTTCATGGTTGTCTGGGCTTCTCTGGGACAACCTGAAACAAGAAGTAAGATAGCAGTGAAGGGGCAGAAGGTAACGAAAAAGGTAACTAGAATGCTCGGACAGACAAATCCTATTCCTTTAGGACAGATGGGATGGTGGTGGCTGAACTGGGCCCAGACACGGGGAAGGAAAAATGAATAATGTAAAAGTTGTTTGCTCTCAATATCTACCACAAATGACAGGCGAATGCATGGAAAGTGGATCAGAAGGCGTTGAGTTCTTCAGACAACATAAAATTAACTGGTGGATTTTGTGGCCACAAGAAGTTGCTTCAAGAACCAACCGTTCTGTGTGAGGACTCCAGTAAAAGGTAGCTAGTTACCTTCCTTGTTTTTGTGCATTTTACTGCCTCGTTTTATACTTTCTCCTTAAATTTCTTCAGTCAAGCTTTCCTTTTGCTTTGTTGTGTGTGAGTTACTGAGACTGATCCCAGATACAGCTTGGTTACATTACTGCACCAAGGTAGGGTCAGCCTTGACACCACCCAAGTAACTATTTGGGGTAAACCAATGGGGGTGGGTGCTGATGCTCCATAGGGCCTTGGTTGCTCCATAGGGCCTTGGTTGCTATCTGCAACATGGGAGGTGACTGGCATCCAGGGCTTGGACTGCCACCAGCACTGCTGCAGGGGTATTTGTTGTTGTTCAGTCATACAGTCAAGTCCGACTCTTCGCGACCCCATGGACCACCTCACGCCAGGCCCTCCTGTGTTCCGTCGTGCTCTGGAGTTTGCTCAATTTCATGTTCGTTGCATCTATGACACTGTCTAACCATCTCATCCTTTGCCGTGCCCTTCTTCTTTTACCTTCAACCTTTCCCAGCATCAGGGTCTTCGCCCATGAGGGCTCCCTTCTCATTTGGTGGCCAAAGTATTTGAGCTTCAGCTTCAGTATCTGGCCTTCCAGGGAACAGTCCGGGTTGATTTCTTTGAGGATTGACTGATTTGACCTCCTTGCAGTCCAGGGGATCTCAAGAGTCTTCTCCAGCACCATAATTCAAAAAAATCTATTCTTCGGCGCTCGGCCTTCCTTATGGTCCAACTCTCACAGCCATACATGACTACTGGGAATACCATTGCTTTGACCATACGGACTTTTGTTGGCAGGGTGATGTCTCTACTTTTTATTATGCTGTCTAGATTTGCATAATAAAAAGTAGAGACATCACCCTGCCAACAAAAGGGGTATGGCTGTTGTTTAAGGTGATGAACTAGCTTTGAGGAGCCCTGGCTTAGCAAGCTGATTGTTCAAGAGCGACATTTTTTTGCAGTGCACTATTATTATTAGCCTGATCTCCCCTCCCCTCCCCTCATTTGCTCACAGTTTCCTTTACTAAGCAGCTCACAATTTTATTTTCTCCCCTCCTCCCGTTTTGCTCATAATTATGTGGTTTGCAACAACGGGTGAATATGCTTGTTTTGAAACAAAGACAGCATTTCTAACCACAGCGAAGGAATGACTTACTTTCCCCAGATGACAAAGAAGTAAGCGAGCTCTCTGAAGAGGTCTTGCTGGGACTGCCAATGCCTGAAACGGTGCCAGAGCTTGGTGGGGGTATCTTCTGTTGGAAAGAACCCTGGTGAACCTTGGAAGGTTTTGCAGACATCTCGCCATGTTCAAGACAGCCATTGACGAGCAAAATGGGGGTGGGGTGTGCGGAGTTTGCAATGGGAGAAAGAGGAGCAGGTGGGGTATGTCCCTTCTGGAATGATGGTGGTACCGGAGAATTCACTTTCGGGGAGGAGGTGACAGTGGAGTTGAAGCCCTCTGAGCCTCGTGTGCCAATGGAAGAGGCACTCATGGAGCCAACAGAAGAGTGACTTCCCATTGACCTGGTTAGAGGGGTGTCAGGTTCATTGCTGGGCAACGACTGAGTGCTGCTGCAGAAAGAGAAAAGTAAAGCACAAGATTGGAGAGAGATCAGTATGATAACTGAATACTAAATATTAAAATCATAACGAACATTTACAGTATTTATTTATTTTCTTTATCGATAGCCCTCCTCTCACCCCAACAGGGACCAAAACCAACATACATCATTCTCCTTTCCTTCATTTTATCCCTCCTGTGAGGTAACGTAGGCTGAGAGTATGTGACTGGCTAAAGGTCACCCAGCAAGGTCTCCCAGCAAGCTTCCATGGCACCAGCAGGATTTGAACCTGGATTTCCCAGATACTAGTCTGACACTTAAACCACTACACCATGCTGTCTTTTGCTGATCAGGCCTGTAGTGGTGGCACTCAGGCAGGCTAACGGGCTCGGCAGCTGCTTGTGGGGGGGAAGAGAATCCTTCAGAGGCACAGAAGCTATGGACATCAGGCATCTTGAGGCCTACCTGACCCCTTAGGAGTAGGGTTGCCAACCTCCAGGCAGTGGCTGGAGAGCTCCTGCTATTACAACTGTTCACCTGGAGAACATGGTCACTTTGGAAGTTGAACTCTGTGGCATTCTATTACATTGAAGTCCCTCCCCAAACCCCGCCCTCCTCTGGCTCCACTGCCAAAATCTCCAGGCGTTTCCCAACCTGGAGCTGGCAACCCTACTTAGGAGGTTACAGGGAAGCTGCAATTCCCCCCCCCCCCATCTTGGAAGAGACTGTTTTTAATCTATTGATTTGTATGGTATTTTATTATGATTTCAACTTAATCTAAATTATCTATTGTTCTTATCCTGTTGTGAACTGCCCTGAGCCCTGCCCACGGGGAAGGGTGGTCTAAAATCTCCACCACCACCACCACCACCACCATCATCCCAATGTGCTGGGAGTTATGCCACCCAGGAGCAGTTATCTGAAGTGCTGGATTATGAGAAATTCTACCCTGACCTGGAAAGCCCAGGGAAGCTCGATTTTGTCAGATCTTGGCTGCCAAGGAGGGCCGACTCTGGCAAGTACTTCGATGGGAGACCTCCTTGAAATACCAGCGATGGGAGGCGGGGGCAGGCTTTACTCAGCCACCTCTTTGAATATCCTCCAGGCCCCCAGTGGGGTCAGTCACCAGAGGTTGCCATGACTTCCAGGTGTGTGCGCATACACACACAAAATACCAAAAAGAAAAAGCCATGCAGATTGCAAGAGATTCTCTTCATCTGCCAGTTGGCTGGCCTTTGCTCTGGCCTGGCCTCCACTAATAAATCCTAACTTCTCTGAGCATTAGGCGTGGTCGGATTATTCAACTGCTTAAGATGCAGAGGAGGCGTGGAATCACTTGCTCTCCAAGGAGGTGAACTACTGTATGAAGCTTCACTCTAGGCTGACCTCCCTTCAGTCAGGCGACATGCTCATATTGATGATTCATGCAGAAGCAATGGATTCTGATAATGGCTTAGGGTGAAGAGTGATTCCAGTCTTTGATCAAAAGTAGCTGGACTTGTATCGGCTGGCTGAGAATGGTACTAATGCATAGTGAAGGATGAGGGGGCTACACTGTGCAGGAAAACGGGGAGAATCTGTGGGGTTATAAGGGGGGAGAGTGCTCTCTTTTTAGGCACTGACTGACAGGATGGGAATTTAGAGCTGGAAGAGGCTGAACAAAGATCACGCATTTCAACATGTTTATAAAATGCAACTTGCAGGTTTATGCAGCCTCAGTTTGCCCTGGACCGTACGGGGAGGAGATGGAAGGGTTAAACTTCCAATCGTCACTCAGTTTGATGATTTGAAAACAGCTCCCCCACTCTGCTGTTAGCATTTTAAAGGGAAAATAGATGTTTTTAATGACCACATCTTTTTTTTTTCCAGTCAAAATGCTAACTACAAAATGAGGGAGACTGCTTGGAACAGTGAAACTGACTGGAGGCTGAAGGGTTGAACTGTCTCTCCCTTCCTTGTACAACCCTGAGGCAAACTGAGGCTGCATGAAGTTCCAATTTGCATTTTATGGCTGAGACTATGGACCGCCCTCCCTCCTGCAGCTGCTTTTAGATTCACATTGGCTTCTGAAGTCCCTGCAGCACATGGATAGTCTTATTAAAATGAAGGGGCAAATGGGGTGTTGACTTCCAGAAGCACAAGTCAGAATCCTCAGATGAGTCCCAAACAAAAACTTTTACCTTCCCAGAATGTAACTGGTATCCGACCCAGGACTTGTTGAAAGTACAGATGCCTCGCTGCACCGCTGCTGTATCTTCCCAAACTGAGAAGGCTTCAGAAAGTTCTCAAAGCCCGGTGAGGTAGCCAGGATAGAGTTTGACCCACTGGTGGCAGCGTTGTTCACATTCTGCTTTGGAATGGAGATGCTCGCAGATGCTTGAAAGGGCACTGGTGATTGTCTCTCTGTGGGCTGGAAGTGTTGGGTGCCTCTGAGGTTGTTACTGCATAAAGAAGTAGTGTGATCTCTAAGGTTGGAGTTATCTACAGGGCTTTGTCTATGGAGCAACAGTCGGTTATGGTTTGGGGGAGATACCGAGAGCGGAGTTCCAGAAGGACTTGCTGAATTCTGCAAGGACTCAGTGCATTTTGTTCTGGTGGGTGACATTTCAATGTATTTTATGTCTGATTAAAGAAAAACACAAAGAAAAATAAACTCAGAAGCATAACATTAACAGACATACTGGTCAAGGGTCAACCCTAGCCTGCTCTCATAGGGTGATTCCACACTAGACCTTAAATCCAGGTTCAACCCTACCCCCGAACTTACATTCTACACTACATTCAAGTTCACCCCTGTAATTATCTCGGGGTATTTTTACATTCTACACTACACTCGAGTTCACCCCTGTAGTTATCTCAGGGTATTTTTTGTTTCCACATTACATTGAGGTCACCCCGGTTTCGCCCCACACTTGCTGTTACAGCCAGGGATAGATGCAAGGTATTGTGTCGTGAGTTGGATCCAAGTGTGGAAAGGACCATAATGAGCCCTATTCACAATCCAAGTACAGTGTATGCTAGATCTCTCTTTATACACGTGCTGAGTAATTGTTATGTTGCATTCTATACATATACAGCTGACTGTGTGACTTAAACCACACATTTTCCTGGGTACTGGTCTCTGGTTTCATTTGTAATATGCTGTAACATATGAACAAAGATAGTATCTATCCAGCACATATTTATCCCACCTTTTCTTTAAAGGGATCAGGGCAGTGTGCATGTTTTACCCTTTAATCCTCACAACAACCATGTGAGGAAGGTCAGGACAAAGGAATGGGGGTGACTGGCTCAAGGTCACCTGATGAATTTCATGGCTGTAGGGGTGGGCATCTGAACCTAAGTCTCCCAGGTTTCAGTCCAACATGCTAACAACTACACCACACCATGTTTCAGAAGTGGCACATGTTATAATAGTATTACTTATATACCCAAGTCCCTCTGTGCAGATCAAAAAATCCTTGGCACAGGGCCACACATGGGTACGGTACAGATTTCCCCAAACCTGAGGAACACCTAGGTTAATAGAAAAATACAAAATGTTTAAAAAGCAAAAATAAAAGGAGGGGGAGTAGATTAGGGGCTTGACTTTGAGCACAAAGATCTGGGTTCAGTTCCTTAATTAGAAAAGGAAGGGTAGGTTTTTATACCCCGCTCTTCTCTACTTTAAGGAGTCTCGAAGCTGTTTACAATCGCCTTCCTCTCCCCACAACAGGCACCTTGTGAGGCAGGTGGAGCGGAGAGAGTCCTGAGAGAACCATGACTGGCCCAATGTCACCCAGCAGGCTTCATGTGGGGGAGTGGGGAATCAAACCCCACATAGTCCACTGCTCTTAACCATGACACCATGAAGTCTCTGGCGGCACAGTCATAGACAGAGTCACACCTTTCTAAGCCCTGTGACTCTGTTTAGTACTGCACGGTGGGTACTTTTGGCTATTCATACTCCCTTTCTCTTGCTTTATCACTCAGACTGGCCTGCTTCACAGGATTGTTGTGAGGATAACATGGAAAAGAGGAGAACCATGTACAGGGGTCATTTCCTGTGGCAGCGCACAGGAGTGGAGTTCCAGCAGTAAGGAGCCCAGGGGGTGGGCACATGCAACAAGCCCCACCCCCCGCTCCCAGCAGCCCTCAGTCGAGCCACAAGGAGCAAGAAGCAGCCAGGTAAGTTGCAGAGCCCCCCCCCGGCCCGCCTTCAGGTACAAGCTCTCCCTCCTCTGTGAGGACAGATCTGCACGTGTCCCCCCCCCAATAGCTAGCAATCCCAAACAGTCCAGTGGAGCCTGAGCGGTGGGTGTTGCCTTCTGACACACTTCCGGTGATGTCAGGGGGTGTGGCATATGCAAATAAGTTATGCTAACGAGTTATGCTAATGAGCTCCTGCACCTCTTTTTCTATGAAATGACCCCTGACCGTGTATACTGTCCAGAGTCCTTTAGAGGAGGAGGAGGATAAAAATATGACAGCTGTCAATGAACAACGTGAAACGCCCATTGCTTGGCACATGGTTTGCATGCAAGATGGTTCCCAGGTTCAGTCTCTGGCAGTTCCATTTAAGGGGGATCTGAAGGTGCAGGGCTGGGGGGGGGGACCTCCCGCCTTGTCCTCTTCGTTAAGCCTCTCCCTGATCTGCAAGGCAAGCATGGCTTGCTACATCAATTCCTCCCTGTGATCTTTTCAGAGCCCGCTGCTTGTTGGCACCCGCAGGAAAGGGCGAGGCACACGCTTCATTTCCTTTCCACAATGGCCCTGTCTGTACCTGACTCCAGATGAAAAGTATCTGGCTGCTCCCAGGGAGCACATCAGAGGCGAGCACCAGGAGATTGTGCAATGGCCAACCTCAGTGCCATTTGGCTCCAGCAAGGCAGTGATCTCACACACAGACCTTTCAAAAAAAAGACGGGAAGAAGAAGAAGAAGTTGTTCCCACCCTTCACTACCCGAAGGAGTCTGAGAGCAGCTTACAATCTCCTTCCCCTTCCCCTTCCCCTCCCCACAACAGACACCCTTGTGATGTAGGTGGGGCTGAGAGAACTCTTTAGAGGACTGCTCTAGAGAGAACAGCGACTGATCCAAGGTCCCCCAGCTGGCTGCATGTGGAGGAGTGGGGAATCAAACCTGGTTCTCCAGATTAGAGTCCGTTGCTCTTAACCACTACACCAAACTGGCTCTCGACTAGCCACATTAGTCTGTCTGTAGCAGTAGAAAAGAGCAAGAGTCCAGTAGCACTTCAAAGACTAAAAAAACATGTGGCAGGGGTATCTGAAGAAGTAAGCAGTGCCCCACGAAAGCTCTGGCTTTGCCACTTATTTTGTTAGTCTTTAAGGTGCTCCTGGACTCTGGCTCTTTTATACACACACACACACACACACACACACACACCATGGCTCTTTTTGTAGCAGGAACTCCTTTGCATATTAGGCGACACACCCCTCATGTTCTACACTTCTCTCTCTCTTTCTCGCTCTCTCTCTCTCTCTCTCTCTCTCTCTCTCTCTCTCTCTCTCTCTCTCTCTCTCTCTCTCTCTCTCTGAAGCGATAGATGCCTTTTAATCTGCACAGCCAATCAGAAGCCCTGCTGGGCAAAAGCCCCACCTAGCTCCACCCACTTTCTAAAAGCATTTGGCGACCACCAGGAAAGGTGTTGGCGGCCACCGTGACGCCCACAGGCACCACATTGAGGATCCCTGGTTTACATCATTCTCCCTTCCTACATTTTATCCTTGTAAGGCAGGTTAGGTGGAGAGAAAGTAATTTGTCCAAGTGAGGCAATCAGGTGAGCTGCCTACCATGGCAGAGTGGGGATTTGAGCCTGAGTCTCTCTGATCTAGATCCAACACTCTGATCACTCCTCCATACTGGTCACACATGATGTGCATTCGTGTAGGTAAAACTGCAGCTGCTGTCTCCAACACAGAGGTGTGCAAGAGAAATCCTTTCTTCTTGTCCGATTGCATGCACGAATGTGCACACCCTCTATAAACAATGCCATGCACGTGTATTTTGTGAATGGGAATAACTACCAAAAAGTTTAAACAAAATACACATTGTGTGTGACTAATGCCGTCCTGTTATATAATATGGTTCTCCCTTTAGGTGACAGCATGACATGGTCATTGATGAGGAACAATAGGTATTGATGAGCAATTGGCTCTTCCCAGCCCCTGGAGCGCACATTACAGCCACCTGCCAGTTTTCCTTTGGCAGAATTGCGCAGGGAGAGCTGGACAGTTCTCATCCTTTAAAGGTTGCCCTGAACTTCTGACCCTGAGAAGTTTGAAGAGCAGCCCTGGCTCAATAGCAGGGCATCTGTTTTGCATGCAGCAAGTGGGGTGTGTGTTTTAGGTGGGCATTGGCAAGATTCCCCATTGGCAGTCAGTCTGTTCTAAAGGGCACCTTCCTCGTCAGCTAACACGAGAAGGCAGCTCTTGAGAACAGCAAGCTGGGGAAGAATGTGATTGGTGAGCTCCTCCTGCCTTTTGCCATTGATGTGTAAAACCTCCGAGCTTCTTCTAGCAGATGAGGAAGTTCCCTTGCGAAAGCTCCACCTGAGTGCCAGACCGCTAGACCACGAAGGATGCTCTGCTTGCTGGTGCCACTCATCTTATTGCCCTGAACTTCTGACCCTGAGAAGTTTGAAGAGCCGCCCTGGCTCAATAGCAGGGCATCTGTTTTGCATGCAGAAACCTCCCCCCTCCTGCATCTCAAAGGGATCTGGTAACATGGTAAGTGATGTCAAAGAGCTCCTAGAGGAGAGGTGTCAAACTCATTTGTTACGAGAGCCAGATCTGACATTAATGTCACCTTGTGGGGCCAGGCCATGTGTGCCATAAAATGTAATGCCAGGTAAAGGGAGATATAAACTTTATAAAGGACACGGGCAAACCCAATTAACAATATTCCTGCTCTGACCTGGATAGCCCAGGCAAGCCCAATCTCGTCAGATGTCAGAAGCTAAGCAAGGCTGACCCTGGCAAGCATTTGGATGGGAGACTGCCAAAGAATACCAGGGCAGGGGCAGGCTATATCAAGCTACTTCTCTGGAGGTCCTCCATGTCCCAGTAGGAATTGCCAGAGGTTGCCATGACTTTCAGGCATACGTACACATGCACACAAACATAAAAAAACCAACATAAAGGGAAAAAAGACCAACAATATTCTTACATTGCTTGCATATTGATATATTTTCCCTGTTTGCTTATGACCTGGTGGTCTACGAGTATTAATAAAAGACTGAGATTGGACTTCAAATTAACAATATTATTTTTTTACTCAAAATACAAACATGCTTAAAACATTAACACTCTTTTTTAACCATTAACTTTTTATTAAGATTTCTGATAAGTCGTTACAACATTAAAATAACAGTAACTTTCAATATTTCTTTTTTTTAAGTACCCGAGGGTACCTTTTTATTATTTTTTCCATTATATACTACAGACATACAAACATACATACAAACAACCCCCAACTACCCCCCACAACATATAACATATAACAAGAGACTTTATTATTTCTTCTGCTTATTAAATTTCTAAATTCATTATCTATTTTACTAAGCTTATCTCCTCAAGGTCATCTTACAAAGATGATCAGGTCAGACAGAGGAGTAAAACAAGG